TGAACATGCTTCATCTTTCTGTAATATGTTAAGATTTTAGAACCTTATTTTTATGGTCTATAAGTTTCTTTTTAATTTTTGTGTTCTTGCTGTGTATTGTTTCTCTCGTTTGTCTCTTGTTAGTCCTTGTTATATGCACTTACCTTTCGATCTTGTCCATTTTGAGTTTCTAAATTGTAATAAAGTTACCTTTATATTGTGGTTTAGCTATTTATCATTAATTCATTCTGAAATAGCGTGACTTTGCTCCTGTTTTAGCCCTGTTCCTAATTGGTTTTTATTTCATCTTTTGTTTTAATTTCTATTTTAATTTTGAAATCAGTGCTTGTATGTTTAAAATGCAAGGCCCCCATGAAAACCAGCTCGGACTGTTTGGGCTACCTGGATTTATAAACGAAGGAATCAATCAATAAATAAATAAATAAAAATAAACGGCACTTGATGTTTGTTATCGATATGAGCTGGACCATACAAAAAAAATTGCACTTCTCACAAAAACAAGGATGAAACCTGGAACTGAAAAATATTTACCAAAAACTGTTACCTGAAGGTCTTCTATTCCAATACATCTGGACATACAAAGTTAATCAATAAAGAATATAAAACAATCTAAATGAAATAAAAACATGTTAATTTGGGTAACAACAGGTGCAAAAGTCCCCAAAAAACATTGCGATGAAATGCAGCAACAGCTAAGATGTTTACAAGAAAACTAATTCAATGGAATTAAGCAGTTAAAATGCCGAGGATTAGGTAACTAAATGTGCTCCCATCGTGAATCTAACTGTACATGTAGTTGTGATAAAGTATGTAGGCATCATCAGCTATAAAGAAGACATATTTGAAGAGGAAGTCAGATTCTTTAACCTTAAGGCAGGATTGAAATTTATGCCAAGAGAGTTGATCATTATTCCAAGTTATGTAAGGCAGTCTTGCTGTATGACAGTCCTACTGCAGAAGTCCCCCTAGACCACATCCCTCTACTTGACTTGCACTGAATTACACAGACTTCAATTTGGACCTCCTTGGGGTTCTTCTGTTTCTTGGAATATCTCCGCTCCGTGGCAAAGTCTGGAACTTTAATCAGAATCAAGAAATTGGTATGAAGTGAGAGCTGCAGTGCACTCTCACCTGGCACACATTCAAGAAGCAATGCTGATATTTACAAGTGCCACAAGAACCTGCTGTTGAAGGGAGGTTAGGTTACCTATTTGTTACCCTTACCACATGATGTTAGTTTTCCAATGAAAACAAATCCAAAAGGAAACACTGGCCTACTTATAACTTTGCTACCTGATATTATACAAAAAAATTATGTGGTTCCAATTGATAATTTAGTGCATGCTGTATGCAACCACTCGTTGGCCAAGGATATATTGATACATATTCATAGAGCCTGTCTTAGACTATTCAACTATGAGTTCAGAAATTTGATGCAGTGTGAGTTCCGGCCACCTCATTTTGACCAGTACATCTACCTCATTTTGACCAGTACATCTCAACAAAGGTCCAAAACAATAGGCAATACTTGCGTCCTGAATAATGTTACAATCTGTCACTTTTAAAGCCTGAAATCACCACATTGTTGGACAAGGGACAAGTGAAGGTATACTTATAGACCCCAACAGAATGTAGCAAGAGCCACTGTGTTCAATATGAGACGTGCAGTTTTATTTAAACAGGAACTACCCATTGATTGGCCAATGTGAAAATTGGAAAAACACTGATTTTTTTCTATTACCAAGCACTAATTTGACTCCATAAACAGAAAAGAAAGGCAAGCACTTTTCGTAAAATGTTTACTGGCTGTTACAAAACTGCATTTGAACAGAAAATCACCTGTACCAACAGAGGAAAATTGCAGTAGTTTACCTCTGGAACTACAGGTAGTCTTGTGTTTTTCATAACATTTATATCCCACAGCAGCAGAGTCAGCTGTCATATTTTGATATGTCAAACACTATTAGTCAAGCGTAAATTTACACAATTTTTCACTGTGCAACCATGTGAAAAGCTTGGCGGCTGCAGTTGGGCTTCTGTGTCACTGCCTCCTGAAAGGGACAATCAGTGCTTTTTCTCCTCCAACCCCCACAAGAATTCAACAGCAATCCTTAACTGACGAATTGCGGGAAACCAGAGAGATATGGATGTGTACGGGATGCAAAAATGCCCTTTGTGATTAATGAGATTTGGCAGGCTGGGGGGGGGGTGGGTGGGTGGGGGAGGGAGCCCTTTGTAAGCTTGAACAAAAACCCTTCCCACTCACGATCGTGCTGGACCTCTGATGTGTTGTGATGGTAATGAGTGCACAGTGTTGTGATGGTAATCTACTTATTCAAGATAAACTAGTCAAGCATGCAGCGTTCGCACGTGCGCTTGCACGTAGTTGAAGCTAGCCGTAGGAATATATATGATCACCGTGGCCAAGGCGGTCCACACGTGGTGGTATTGTTTACATTTAGTCACATGGGTGAAAAAGCTCTATACATGCTTTCATTTTGTGCTGCTTCCAGGTGCCCCCTCCCTTTTTTACAACATTTATTTCAACTCAATCTTGTCTCCTGTCAGGACAAAACATAGCCAATTTCTGTGTCTCGAGGATGCCTCATTTCATTTATTAGTTCCCCTGTCGTGGACAAGATGGCTTGTTTTTTGGAGATTGTTGAATGTGCATCCGTGCTTCTCGCGTGATATGGCCAAACTTTTTTTAACCATGCAGTTCCCCTGTTGACCATTTCTGGACAGCCTGAGGCCCCTTGTTGCATCACTAACTTACCCTCTCCTCTTCGGCCAGGAGCGTCAACACCAGTTGGCTTAATTCACAGATGACATGATCAGATCTCTTTGTTTCCATTCCAAACCTTATGTGAATAATTTTTGTCCAACCATGGAGGATCACACAGATCATGCATTCGTTAAATTATATTTCCCAGAGTGGATCCAGAACCAGATGCTCAGTGGGGCAGATATTTTTTGTACAACCCTTGTGGTCTTTGTGAGGGGTAAGGCCACATTTTGGGGCACCACTTTATTGCTTCTTTCTCTCAGTTCTTTTTTCAAAACAAAAAAACAAAAAGAAAATGTATTTTTGATCCTTTTTAGGGGGATAAGGCCATGGCCCCCAATAGCATGTCCCCCTAAATCCGCTAATGTCTATTTCATTTTACTGGTAAAATAGGCTTGTAAAGTGTCTTAGCATTCATTCATATGAACCCTTTAGTTTCAATGGATATTGTAACAAAACCCCTTGAAGGATTCTGCCAAGATAAGAATTTCAGTAATAAGATCAACGACTCGTATTAAAACTAAGACCTGAAATAATTGATTAACTTACCTTGCCACACAAAAGGTTTTGGTGACTTTCTATATAAGAGGACAAATGACAAAGTTTAAAGAAGAATACAAGGGAATACGGACATTAAAAAAATGAATGAAATTACTGAGCCAGTGACTTCCTGCCCCTTAAAAAGGGTGCAGTGAAGCTGTGCAACCTAGATGTTTCTCCACATGAGCCAATAGGTAGAAATAGATGAAATGACCTGAAAATCAGCCTGGCTTTGGGCAATGCCCCCCTCGAATACAAGGACGTACAAGTCAGAGCAAAAGGATATGGCTGGAATGGATCGACCCAGGTCTGGAAAAAGCTAATACTTACATATGGGACCAAAAGAAGATAGTATACAAATAATGAATATTTATGAGTCCAATGGTGAGAAAAAAGTCATGAGGTGACAGATGACATGTTTCACTCCGTGAAGTGAAGCCAAATGGAGCTGAACATTTCATCTGACATCTTCATCTAGACATTTTTGTAACAATATTACACAATGCATATAAAGTCCTTACCCATCCCAGCCCGGACCACGAGAGACCAAGAAGTTTAATTGACATTCAGTACGTCTTTGGTACTCAGGTTGCTTAATCCCTCCATGTATTAACACAGTCTTGTCTTCTGTCACTGACGTGGTCAACATGCTATTTTGACTGTACTATAAGCCCTGTCCTTTTTATAGCTGTTTACTTGTAGTCAATGTTTTGGCCTCACACACAGTGCTTATATGCCTTGTTTTTCAGTTCTCTTGCATCTATTTGTGGATATTTTCTTCCTGTTTGCATGCCAGCATCAGACGGCTAAATGGTTTTTGAGCTGTTGGTTGCCGTGGTATTGAAATCCATTAGATTGAGTCAGAAGCTCTGCGTCAGGCAGATTCCCGTTGATTGGCCTGCTCTTGACGTGATTTTCTTTTGCCCCACTTTGCTGGCGACTGAAGTCAGTCCCTAATGTCATCTCACTAATGACTGATGTTTCTAGTTTATGTCCTTTGCATTTCGAAAAAATTTAAACTATAGGTCAACCAAAACTCTCTAGGGCATGTGAAAATTCCTATTTAGATTAAAGAAATGAGGACTGTTAGCTCAAATGGCAAATGCCTCTAAAGAAGATTGTCCAATTTTCTAGTGAAAGAGTCACCACTCTGCATTGATCTTCAAAGTACAGTAGGCTTATACGGTTTCGAAAGGTTCTGCACAGGTGTCTTTGAATTTTTAACCCGTGCTTAATCTTGTCCCTTTTATGTCCCTTTTCTAGTTATAAATTTCTTTGCCTTAATGAAAAAGGCACCAAATGGATTCCCCTCTTCAACTGAATTACAGTTGCCAGTGCTGCTGCGGAATGAAGGAAGTGCTGAAGTTGAACCCGACCCCACAAACAAGAGGAAAAACTTCGCATTATCTACACAATGCAGCACTGTCTGTAACACTGGTGTGAATGCTGCCAGAGTATTCTTGCAACAGTTGACTGCCGCAGAGACATTCAGGGCAGAAAGTTCACATTTTCAGCTATTGCAGTAATTTTTAATAATAATGTTGTAAAGGATATAGTTTGCGTTTGGTCCTTTTTCCTATTTGCTGCCATGGTAACAATTTGCTGTATGAGATACATGACATGCCAGAAAATGATTAAGAAGGCTATTTTTTTGTTATTTTCTCTCTTTTGGCAGGAACTCATAATTGTATTAACTCTTACTGTTGAGTGCATCTTAAGAATATGGTCGGCGGGCTGCAGGAGTCGATACCAAGGGCATTATGGGAGACTTCGTTTTATAAGACGACCCCTGTGTATTTTAGGTGAGTGTGAGCAGGGGGGCATTAGAGGGATTATACTCATGGGGGGGTGTTGAGCAGAGCTGATAGGCCTCAAAAAGGCTGATAGAACTCCCCTGAGAGCAAGTGTCGGCATGCCTGCTAGTGCTTGTTCTCTTTACCCTGTTTTTTTTTTTTTAAGACTTGATCCAAGGTTAGAATTGTTCATTCTTTCCGAGGTCTTAAGACAACTTAACCTGGAATTTTTATCAGTGTTAGAAATGGGCTGTTTTTTAGCCGGCCCCGCTCTTGCTAATTTCCGGCTCTAAGAAAAAACTTTGGTATACACATGTATGAAGGCAAAATTCAGCAAAACACTCTCCACTATGAATGATTGCCCCTCTGAATGTTACCGCCATCTACTGCATGTCAGCCTACTTATCAGAAGATATCGCTAATAAAAGAAATTTACGCACCAGAGAAGGTGGGACACAATATCACCTCAAGGCACTACAGAGAACTGTGAAAAGATTAAAGTCTTGAGGGAAAATATGAAACATTCAGGACTAATTGGCATAGGTCACATCGTGTTAGCGAGAACTCGTTGATAAAAATGATGTAGCCTAGCCCAGAAGAGAATGGGACAAACATGCAAAAAGATTTTGCAAATAAGACACTACTACACAATCCACTGCATTTGATTTGCTTTCCGAATCTCAATGTATGTGACATTTGGCTTTTTCGGGGTTGTGTCCGCTACAGTATGGCAAACAAAAAAGAAATCACACAACTCCGATTGCATGTTTTTTCATTGCAAAAAAAGAAATGAATCAATTGGGAGGCGTAGCCAGCATGTTTGTCTGAACGTCTGTGTCAACAAGCCGGGCATTTCTTCATCATTTTGTAGTATTTGCGAATTTATTTTTTTTTCCCACCTGCACGGAGCAATCCTGTCAAAAGGACTCTTCAAATCTTGATTCAAACTCACGACAGCTTGTCCATTTCTGAAAGCCTGCACGACCGAGTGCAGATAATGAGACACTACACGCATCCAATAGTTTCTTCGTTTTCTTTCTTGTCCCAAAAGAGGGGCATATTTACATCTGGCAAGGAGCGTGTGCACCAGACAATCCGGCGCACCGGCTGTCATTGTAGGGCTGTCGCGTCCATTTGTGGATTGGCCCTCGGTCTGGCAATGTTGCCTGACAGGGCTTTATCTAGGGCCAGCCGGGTATTATTGTGCCCCTGAGTGTCTCAAATGCCGAGAGAATTAAGATTTCATGAAAGGAGAGCCTTTACTTATTCGAAATGCAAACAAGCTGTGGCATGTGCAGGTTCAAGCCAAGTCGTTCAGTCACAGCAGTGAACAAATCAACCTGAGTCCAACTTCATGGCAGGCCGACAAAACTTGGCCAGTTTAGTCTACTTCCTCAATTTGATAGTAATAAGGTTTTCTAAATAACTCACTGAGTATGAGCCATGAGTCACTTTCATCACTCACTGTGTTGATGCTCTGATCTGAGCAAAACTCAACAGACTTTTGTTTGTCTTGAATGACCTTCTTGCATACTAAGTCTTGTTGAATGAGTGTGGTATAATTTGCTCTGATGATTTTTGAGATGAGAGAATTGAAAACTCTGCCATCTTCTTTGTACGCAGCCCAGTGCTTAGTATGAAATTTGATTCGGGGACAAAATACACCTAAAATCTGTGTTGAGCTCAGTGCGTGTATCCATGGCTGGTATTCAAAAAGATGAATTTGTCTGTGCTCTTCAATGAACTCAAACACACCGGCCAGTGCAAGATTTGGTGTGTCCCTAGGCACTAGTGTTTGGTATGGTTTCACTGTACAGGTAAGCACCTAAGCCTTGCATTTCATGTCGAAATCAAGAGCCAAGGCCACACGGACGGCTCTAAAACCTCTTAGCTCCGTGTACTCCAGACCAATTAACTTTACATGTAAATGTTATGCCTGTGTGTGTGCAGCTTTGTCAGCATCAGTTGGTCAAATAATAACTTTTAATAGGCAGATTTCTGCTATTATTTCCATATTGTAAATTGCTTTTTATTAGTAATGAATTGCTTGATATAAACATGCATACATGTTCAAACCACTCCACCTTGGAGGACTAGTAAACACACAACGTGTGGGGCGTGCTGTGGCATTTTTGTAGGCCCTCAAATTTGTGGCCGGCTCTGAGTTGTTTTTAGCTGGCCCGAGGTACAGTGCCTATTGCACCTATTCTGATAATCCCATCCTGGCATCGACAGACAGTTTTTTCCTGTACCAAGGTGCCAGAATGTCCGGAAACTGTTGTTTGCTCCAAAAATTGGCATATTTCTTGTTTCTGGTTATTATTGCACTGCACAATTAAAAGGTCCCGCTCGGTACCTCTTCATTCCGGTCTAAGACGTTATGAAAACATTATCTCTTCTATTCCAGTCAATGCCATTGAAGGCCTCTATGACGTTAACTCAGCCTTCGACTTCAGTGTCAACATGCGTTCAGTCTTCTCTAAACCCATTAGCTAAACATTCCGTTTAATTCTTCAGCATTGACATATTTTTTTGTTCTGGGTAGTTGGGTTTTTCTTAAAATAAATGTGACTCAAATATTGTGACTTAACCAAAGGCCAGATAGGCCCCTGGTCACAGTGTGACTAAGCAGGCACAATCGATAGGACGGGTAGCATATTAGCCGTGCTCAATTGAGTCCCAGTCTCCAAAAGTGCATCACCGAAGCATTACAGAGAAACCTAACCCTTTCCGCCTGTGTACCCACACCCATCAGAATGGCGCCTTGCACGCAAATAACTCACCCCTATTGCTTTTTAAGCACAATCCCCTTTCACCCTTACATCGTCTTGCCTATCCTCTTTCTATCATATTTCCCTCTTTAAAATAGTTACTCTTTTAAAAACAGGTGTGTTTCAAAAAGGAAAGAAAAACCCTTTACACAAACAGCAGGCTGAGGAGGGACACTCTAGCCAGCATGGAAGGTATAACATCGATTTGGGTAAATGACATCTCTCGGTTTGCTTGATCGAGTTTCCAGTGCCACCCCCTCAGGGCACAGCAGAGCAGAGTATCGGAGTGGCACCCAGGAATTCTACCTCTCACATCTCTGTACCTCTTTTCCTCCTCGTGCGTGGATTTTTTCCCTTCTTTTCCAATCCTCTCATCTTAACAAAGTTAGTCCTCTCTTGGTTTGGTTCCCGTTGGCCGATTGCATCTCTCCAGCCTTCGTGATTGAGTTGCGAGTTGGCCGCAGGGTTCATATTGGCTGAGAGCTGCATAGCAGTGGCCACTCGTCTCTCCCTATTCCTTGTCATTTTTCTCTCTCTGTCTCTCTCTCGGTTTTTTTTAAATTTTTTGGGGGTTGGTAATACATTATTCTCCATGGAATATTTTCATGTAAATTCATGTCTGGACTCTCAAAGTGCTTTGTCATTGCCCCGAAGAAACCTGGCAAAATTCAATACATGTGAGCCGGAGCTTTATACGGACAGGCCCATTTATTTATGTAAGATACGTGTATCCCTTGCAGCATAAACCCAAAGATTTTCTTCCTGTTAAAACATTACAATGGCAAAGCAAGCCAAACTGACGGGAGATTATGTGCAAAATCTATTATGTAAGGTGTACATATTGGGTCTGAAAGTTTGAATGTCTTGAGTTTGACGAAGTTGACATGGTGAATAGCCTGGATATGATTTCCCTACAAAAAGAGAAAGCTTGTTTGGGTGGATGTATTATTGGAGATAAAATTTGATTCTGGCAGGCATAATCTAAGATCACATCTGAGCCAGAAATCACGTCCAGGATTATAATGCAGTTTGGGTCGAGTGGCCAGACGTTGGGTGTCATTTTGGAAAGGCACTAACACAGGATATGTTATTGCTGACTTGGATGTGATTCAGGTGATTTGGATGTAGACATTAGTCCCTACCAAAATGACAGCCAGGCAAGTCGCCTTTCCATTTTTGTAGGAAAATCACATCTAGGCCATTCACAGTGTGAAGGGGAAACAAGAGAATCCAATTCTGATTTGGTTTAAAATTTCCAAGCATTCAGAATACAGGCAAACAGGTAGTTTGAACAAAAAGTGATCATTAAAAGCCAAATAGGAAACTTAGCCTAGTTCACTTTTCAATTATCCTGTCCTCCATTCTTCACCTGTCCTCATCTGCCACCTGTTGGAGGATTTAGGACTGTTCTTAATGATAAATGTATCTAAGAAACTGTCTGAAGGAAGATTTGAACCTGTGACCTCTGGTACCTTGCTCTACCATGTGAGCTCTCCGGCCCTGAATTCTCAATTCAGATTGGTCGATCCTTCAACAAACAGTGTGATATATAACTGTATTGCACAGTTTATATCTAACCCTGCGTAATGTGCTATTCTAGCTCAACACCTTGTGCTGTTTTTACACTAAAAGCAAAGATGTCGTGTTTGCACGCACAGGCCCCAATAATATCTTTTCTGCATGTCACGTCTGCTTGAAGATAAGTTCGTTATCACGCTCAGACTTGTGGAGCACGTAGGGAGACACAGAATAGCGTAGTACCTCTGTGTCCTGCGCACCCGACACACTACATGTTCATTATTCTGTGTTCCACTCGCGCGTGTGTGGTTAATAAAGTATTTACAAAGAGAAAGACATAGTGGAGGCCCCCACCTAAGAATTGTAGCTGAATCCAGCGCCAGTCCTTTCACAAGTCCTCTCTCAAGACCAGTCATAAACGGGGTGAACAGTGACAAAGGAATGCTTTAGTCACTGTCCATCTGAACAGCTTTTGAGTTGCTTTAAGACTGAATGACTTGTGATGGACTTGCACGGACTTGTGAAAGTTGTGATGGACTCGATTGCAAACCCCCTCCCCAAGAAAAACTACTGCGGTGACTTTCTCGGCCTATGATTGTGATGCAGTCTGTCATCCATTTTGCAGACATTGTGGTTGTGTTTGCCTCAGTATTGATTATCGCCGTGGGCACAAAGAATGCAAAGTTCCTGGAGCCGGCCTTCCGTGGCTTACGCTTCCTCCAAATCCTGCGCATGGTGCGGCTGGACAGGCGAGGGAGCACCTGGAAACTGCTTGGCTCTGTGGTATGGGCACACAGACAGGTTAGTCCCATCAAACAAAACAAGTATATGCCGCCGTTCACATGTATCTCGCCTTAACCACTGTTACTGCAAGAATGCATTCAATTGTGCATAAGTCCCTGGGCCTATGCATTGTGAGGGGCAGGAGAAGTACCTGTGCTTGGGAAGAGCAAGTGGGTTTTTTGTAACCTAGGACTGACAGTGGCTTTTATGAGCAGAACAGACATATGATGACACAGCCTTTAACCAAAGTGACCTTACACGCTCACATACACAAATCTATTCTTTAACCCGGAGAAAAAGTAATCATTTGAGTGCATTTAGGCATAACTGCCCCCTTCCGTCTCTCTGTTTTTATGCAGGAGCTGCTTACCACATGGTATATTGGTTTCTTAGCTCTTATATCCATATCATTCCTTGTATACACATTGGAACACGAGGCTAATCCCAGGGACTACGCAACGCTACCAGACGCCCTGTGGTATGGCTTGGTAAGTCATTGTAACCAATCCCCCATCCTCCAGACGAAGAAGGTATTCCATGCAGTTGAGAAGTATACGTATATCCAAAAAATAATGTTTTAGTGAGATGGTTGTAAGATCTTTTTTATCCTCAGGGGAAAGCAGTTTGGTTTAGTAATAGCAAGTAACCTGCTCCCTCGCATTAGAGTATAACTTTTTTTTTGCTTTTTCTTAATCATAGTGCCTAAATCCCATTCCTTACATTAATTCCTGCCCTAGTCATACACTAACCTTTCCACCCTTCGTCCAACCTCAAATAAAATTGCTGCTGGCGCGCTCGATCATCCCCCAAGCGGAGAAAAGAACCGCAGTTCCACTTCAGGTACAAGATCTGGGTCGCACTTATTTCATTACAGTTTCGACATAAACAAGTGTAAGAATGGAGAATGGGCCTCAGAAGCATTGGAAATTGCGGAAAAAAAATTAGAGACGGACAGAAGAATAAAAGAACAAGAAATGGGATGGGAACGAATGCCACCAGGGATCAACTGTAAAGCCACAGGGCACAGATGGATGGGGTTACATTGAAATTGTCTGGGAGAGCTCCAAAAATTAATGGATGTGTTTTTCCTGAGTGGACTTCAGAAAGCATTTATCAAACACACATGTTCAAATGAAAATGATTTGTTATATGCATAAATGTTCCCATTGGAAGGACAACGTGAATGAAGATGGATTAAGTGAGCAAGCTTGCCTCCTTGGTATGGGTTTAACGTTAAGTGGTTCTGTCTGCGTGATGGTCCCTCTTGATAGTATTTGTTAGGACAGTGCTATTCGCCAGCTAGTGCAGTGACCCAATTGCAGAAACAACAGGGGCTGAAAGTTTGGATAGGCTATTGAAAATAATGAGTGAAAATTGTAAAGCTGTTCGAGTTATTGATGAGGGCTCACTAGTACACAATGTTGATTTTTTTTCACCTCTTTACAAAAAGAGAAAAATAGTCTGAAATGTCAAAATGAAGACCAGAGGCTTTAAGTGCCATTTGCGGCATGCTTTTTATTTATGTCCACTCTCAGCATTGTGTCGTGAGAAAAAGAATTGAATACTTCTCCAAAATATCTCGCATCTGGAAAAAATGATTAAAATTTTGCTATATTATTTCTAAAACTGTATTGATCAGAGTCTGCACATTTCATAACACAACGAAAGTCTTAAAATGCCAGCCTTATTGCTAAGGCCAGCATAATAGAGCAGCGCTTGAACAGATATGAAATATAGAATTCAGGTCCTGAACCAAAACTACCAGGTATGCAATTTTTTTCCTTGACAATCAGAATTTGTAACGGTGCCCTCCTCTCCCAGGGTCTGCTAATGGAGAGTAGAGCCTGGAAACAAGGCATCTTTCAAACCAGCGATTAATGTTCCAAACCACTACTGCAGTACCTGGTTATGAAGGCGGGGGCGGGGGGGGTAGTCACATATTTGTGTATTGTGTGTGGGCATTGAAGAGACCTACAACATGCAGATCTTCTAAGTGGGAAGAAACAGAAGGGCGATGAATATTTGATGCTCGGTGGGCCTGAGACCTTTCCGGCGGAAATTCTCGCTGGCAACTAATGTTTTGAGACTGTGTCGGTTCATATCTACATGACATTTCGGACTGGATTTTTGCAGCATCAGGAATAGTTTTACAGAGGAAAAGAGAAAATGTGGTGCCTTTGTCTTGCAATTAGTAATCATGTCCCATTTGTTTACAGTTGTCTCCTTAGTTTTTCGAAATGATCGCAAACTCTTTCAGCGTTTTCCCCCCAAAAGAAGGTGGAAGTGACATGTTTACTTAAAAGTGTACATTTATAATGGGAAGTTGAGACAAGACATTGTTTTCACACTGTTATCGGCAAATTTGTTTTTATTTTAAATCTCTCTTGTTCTGTTGCCTGAGACAACAGATTACTGCTTGTGTAGGCATATATGGGCAATCCACCGGCAGCATTATGTACCAGTATTGTCACATTTTTGAAGAATAAATATTGAAACTGTAATGCCAGTTTCACTGAGTTGCCAAATGCTCTCATCCATTTCATAGAGATTGAAAAACCAGACACAAATACTTTAGAGGCAGATATTCATTGTCTACCATAGTGACACAGCTATATGGAAATATAATGTGCACAGTCATGCAAGCATCGGTGTATGTCTGCTAGAACTAAAGATTACAGTGAAAGTGATGTTGTGTTTTGTTTTCTTTTCCTCAAAAAATTGGCTTTAGCTCACGCTCTTGAGATGTTCTGATTGAACTTTCATTGTGCCTGTATGTGTACCAACCTGTTTGTGGCCATGTGTGCACCGGTTAATGCTGATGTTGTTCTGTGCAGGGAACAGTGTGAAAAATTTCATTTCAGTGGCCGATTCGTCCAGTCAGCAGGTCGCATTATTACTAGGATTTGAGATATGCCTTCCTGATTTCCCAAAGCAGTAATCATCTGCAATTGAAAACAGTCTGTCTACTTCCCACATAGTGCGGTCTTCCCATTTGATAAACATTTTAGGCCAGCATTAATCAGGTGATTGCATTGTTTTCGGATAACACCGGAAACTTTTAAAGTCAAAGTCAAAGTGCATGATGGAAACTCAGACGTACATAGCTGTAGTCTTCGGCCCGTGGAATGGCTGCATTTTACACATTGACATGCTGGTAAACATCACTCTCTGAATTAGCCACTTAGAGTTCACATTTATATGTATACACCAGCATTGCGCAGTGTATTCAGTCACAGACAAGACTGTGCAGTACGTATTTCTTCCAGCTTAAACACCTACCGTAAAGTGACGCCAATGGCCCAGTTACATATTTTGTCCCATTTCCTTTGAGTAAACTCCCCATTTTGTTGGTATTTGCCAGGTTTTTTTGCATTTAGAAGTGACGGCTCTGTAGCTCAAGTGGGAATTGGAATTGCCAACACTGGTTGTTGATCTGCTTTTATCGGTTTTTGTCAACGCCATCTCCATTTGTATAGGCTTAGTGTTGGAGTGCCGTTTTTCAAAGCCTAGATGGAGGATTTCCCTGAGGTTGACTGACGCTGACAGTGTTTTGTCTCTTATTTATATTTTTTCTTTGGGGAGGTATCTTTCTCATGGAAATTGTTCTCTTCTGGGGGGGGGTCTTGTAGCTACCTCCGGCAACGTTGCTTAATGGGTTGCTGTGTCAGTTCTTTAAAGAATGGTGCAAATGAGATTAAATGAAATGTGGCCGGGCACTTTCGATTGTACTAGCTTGTTGGCAAATGTGCTTGGACCAGGAATTTTAAAGAGCCCATTCAGTGCATATTCTTTTGCTGCATTCTTTGATTATGCGCATCGTATTTCAATTAATTTGAGTTTCTAATTTTGTTTTGTTATTTTAATAGGTATCTTGGTGCTATTTGGGTTTTTATGCTGTTACAATTTTGCATATTCATGAGCAAAACTGTAATGTTTTCCAAAGAAGGAAACCTGAAGGTTGCATCAATTTGTGCATTAAAAATATTTCACTGGATTTTTGTTGTTGATATATTATAGTTTAGTACAAAGAGCAGTGAGGAACCCCTTCACAGAAATGTTCTCACTGAGCAATTTTTGGGCCCACAGCTTCAATAGAAAAACCTATGAGCTGATCAGTGCGATCCTCATTTGGAGAATTGATGTATCTTTGAAAAAGTTTCTTTTGAGATAGTTCGCTTTAAAGTTTGAGGTGCTGCCCTTTTCTTGTTTTCAAGCGAATACTTTGAGTAACTTCTTTGAGTAATTTAGCAGTTTTTGTTATTGATTGAATATGTCATTCTGCTTTATTTACCTCATAAACAATGTAAAGGGCATCTTTTAAAAGATACATCATTTTTCCGAGGAGTAGGCCTTCCTCAAAGATTGTGAGCGTAGAGGTCCTGAGGTATCTTAATATATACCAGTGCAAGCAGGGTGGCACCAAACATTGAAAAGATTTTTTGGTGAAGTAGTGTATGTTACAGATACAGCATTTTACCACATGAGGTGATGTTGACACATTGATGTATGAAGCACATGCGCTATTTTCATGAATGACTTGGCACAGATACAAAGTTTAGTACTAAACGTACATCATGCTATCTCAAAAATGATCCACCCACTTAAGCTGCATTTTGCACATGTGAAAAGAGCGCCCTCACTTTTCCCCAAATACACTTCAACCCAATTTTACTAAAAAAATGCAAGATACATCACCGCAAAGCATCAGCTGCTGTCCACAAACTAGACAATTTTAAATGTTTAAAGAATGGCACTTTCCACCACTAAGAGGATGCCAGATTATTTTCATAAAATGAAGAGTGTAAAAATGCACAGAAACTGTGTCTGAGAAAAACTCATCACGCAGTTGTTTGCCGTGTGTTGCAAAAATGTTAACATCTCCCCAACGCAAAAAATACATCTTGAAAATAGTTCGCAGTACCCGCTGCTTCACCTGACTCGGACCGGCCAGCCGACCCCGGCAAGCTCTGTGGTCAAGTGGTTGAGACGTCTGCACTAGTAAGCAGGAGGTCGTGGGTTCGAGTCCCACCCGAGTAAGCTTGTGAATTTTTTCGCATGCTCTCGGACAAGCACTGATCATACAGTGTTTATCAATATATACGTTGAGTAGAGCAAAACCTGTTACATAAAATGAAACAATGTCAGGGAATCTGTGCATGGGAAAATTGGTGCAGAGGCACGCACGGTACATGTTAACTATTCTTGGCCCTTACCTTCCCGTACATAAAACCAATCAATGGATTGATAGCTGCAATAAATTACAATTCCCTAAATTGGTCAATTTATAAAAGTACTGCAAGTAAAGCAAAAAGGTAATTACCCATAATCATGTGATTTTGAAAGACAGTGTTATAAAGTCAGTGGCTTGATAGCCGCAATAAATTACAATACCCCAAATTGGTCAGTTTCATAAAATGACAGCAAATAAAGTAAAAGATGTATTTTTGGTGTACACCGGCCCATGAGCACATGATCTGAAGGACATTCGTTCTGCAGTGCTCATTCACTGTTACCTGGCTGCTAGCTACTTGATGGCCCAGATTTGTTCAAGCACTGAGAACGTGCCATGCGTTGCCTGCACATTCACGATTTGAAGGGTACTCGTGAAACTGGCAGGGGGGTTAAAATTGGTAAACTGATCTTGCAGTCAGCACCATTCAGCTGACTTTGATTCCCGCGCATGAACTATAGCAGGTGCTAGGCAGTGCACCCTACATGTATCTTGATGGGTCAAATGTTGCGGGTGGAGTTCGACAGTGGAGCTGTGGGGTGACTCCAAGCCTGGATCACATGGCCTGATCAGCAGGTTGACTTCATCTCTTAGTTAGCAGCTTTCTTTCCTCAGCACTTATCTCATATTGGTCTTCCTTGGTTTCTGTTACCTGCAGGTTACTTTAACGACAGTAGGTTACGGTGACAAGACACCAGAGAGTTGGGCAGGGAAGCTGTCAGCTGCCATCTTAGCTGTGCTCGGGGTGTCTTTTTTCGCACTTCCAGCGGTGAGCTCAAATTCTGTCCATAACTTTCGGGCCTTGCATTTAGAGTAGTCATCTTGTTCTATTTCAGCAGAATTAGCAGAAGTGATTTCAGACTTTTCAGGAGTTTCATTTAGGAATCAAACAATAGTCTTTTCATGTTGTGTGGCATACTATGGCAGGCAGACATCACTAGGGTGTACCAACATTGAAATATTTAATATGTAACCAAACGTTGAACATCTGGACTACTTGGACACCCCTTGTTTATTTTCTGTACAGGGTGAAAAATACTGAAGTCAACTTTGTTTATTTCACTTTCAGCCCCCTCATGATAATTGCCAGAAGTTTAAGATATTCTCAAAGACTCACTTTTGTTGAATTTTGAAAAGCAATGTGCACACTGCTACTGCCTCCTCTCAATTTTACGGTCATATTCTTACAAAGATTATTCCAACCAGATGGATTTCCCAAATTACGGGCAAAGCTTTCTGGCAGTAGTAGTGCATTGGATCACATCCCTGATTACTATTATTTTAGCATCAGAATACATGCTGCATTCCATTATCAAGGTAAAAGGTAACTTCTTGTCCAGCACGGAATAATATTCACGAAGAGCGTTTTCTACATTTTGAAGGAATTTCCATGATACAGTCTAAAGCTCTGTAGAGAAAGCATTACAAGGCACATATAGAGAACAGTGTCACTGGGTTCATCGCCTGTGTGACTGCCACTAAGTTCCAAAGCAGCTTAAAGAACTTCCTCTCCCCGGTAGTCCTCATCAAAAATATTGTCTAGAAATCGCCAGTTCAAATGTCTTGTGAAGTGCGTGGTTGGTGAGGAGGTTCATTAGCCTCAGGATCGTCGGATGATTCCTAAGGCACAGCTGTGCATGGACTACATCCTGATGAATAAGAGATGAGTGCCACATTGGCCATGCCACACAGCCTTGTGCTTCCGGCACTGTCCTGAATATGACTTTGGTGCAGCAGTCATTAATTGGAATCAGGAGCCCCATACCGCTGCACAGAATGAATTAAATGTGCTCCAGGTCTTTGGCTTTTAAAGTCCAGGAGTGCATTTTTTTGGGGGGGGGGTTTACAGTAAGCGCCAGACCAGTAGCTGTACATGTATCGGTTTGTTTTGAGCATTTTTCGTGCAGGTGATTTTGTTGGACCTGCAAGTTGTTCATTTTGTTCATGTCAGATGATGTTGTCAGAAACAGTTTGAGTTTTAACAACAAGCAGATAGCAGTCTTTCACTGTGAGCTGACACCAGATGTGGCTATTGCCAACTTAAAATTTCAATCAGATCAGACATCATTCTGTAAGGCAGCCAAGAAGGTAGGCCAAGTAATTTAGACTTGGCCAACCTAATTCAAAAAGGCCATGAAGCAACTGTCCATGACCAGTAGCATAAATCTCTTGTGAGTTCAAGCATTAGTCATTGCACTACCGAAATGGCTTCTTAAAACTCCATGTATCACCAGAGACAACGGACAACAGGAGTTCCCTTTACATTTTGTAATTCACCAGTGAATTAGTTCAGGAAAATGCAGCGTAGTACTAATGCCAAAAGATTCAAAGGCTGTGGCTGTCTAGCTCTCCTAATCCTCACCTCGTGCTGACTTCCTTCTCACAGGGTATCCTGGGTTCAGGCTTTGCCTTGCAAGTCCAGCAGCAGCAGAGGCAGAAGCATTTTGCCAGGAGGCGGCATCCAGCAGCCATGCTTATACAGGTGGGCCATGCAATCTGAAGGGAAGGCATTGAGCCAGGATTGCTGAAGCACCCATCGGATTCTGTCTGCCTCTCCCCATCTTGTCCACCTCCAGTTCAGAATACATCCGTGGGGTCCTGGGATGGTTTCTTTTGTCATGCAAAGATCATCCCCTCCCTCAAGATACGAATTGTTTTCCCCATAAAAGCTCTCCGAATTTTCTTTGGCTTACTTCAATTAGGTTCTTTTATTGCATCAATAACCAACTCATTTTGAAGTGCATGGGTAAAGAACAAAATAGTTTATGACTCTTTTTTGTTCCCTGAAAAAAAGAACCCCACCTAGCAACATTGAAGACTGTGATTTGGCTGTTTACATCCCCAGGTTATATTGTAAAGCTTTAGTTTACTGCTTTCTTGCAGTGCCTGTGGAGATGTTATGCAGCCGATCCTAATTCATGTTCCATGGCCACGTGGAAGCCACACTTAAAACCTGTCCAGAGTCCCACCAATAACAAGTGAGTACCCTGGAACTGATGCTAACTCATATTCAAGGCTGTAAGGAGCTCTAATGAACCCCCCCTAGTCCTTTTCCTATGAGTTAAAAAAGCAAGGTCATTCAGGAACAAAGCACTGCATGAATCTGCTAAGGGCCACACTGATTGGGTAGACCTCCATGACCTCTGAATGACCCGGGACAACTTCATTTAGGGCATGCGCTGTTGGAATATCCACTCGTTCAGTTTGAGTTCGAACTTTTTCATTGAAATCTCAACTGAAAGCTGAGATCAAAGAAATCAAAATGGGTGGTTATGTCCAATTTCTGCATTAATTCTCTCTTCTTGTTTTCCATTTCCCACCTTAAAAACTGAGTTTTCTGGTATCAATTACCCTGGTCACACAGCCAGTTATAACAAACCCCTTTTTTTCCTGGAAGGAAAAAAGGGGGAGGGGCAATGATCCAAATAAGAACCAGCCCACTATCATTGGCCAACAGATGGCGCTATAATTTCTTGCTGTGGTCTGTCTTGGCATCATGCCTGCATCAATTTCAACCACTGGCTAGCAGCCAAATCATTTCCCAATTAATTTGTGTGTAATTTTCAGCCGTATCCCAATAATTTGGACACTGCATAGCTTTGCCTATTTGTTGTACACGTTGCGTACACACATAAGTCATAATGATATAATAATTTGAACTTTCGCATCATTAAAGTGGATGATTGTACACAAGTCTGTATCTGCAATGCTAACCAAATCTGCATTTTACATGGATGAAAAAAGGGACTGCCAAAACAATTTGGCTGCTTTTGGACTTATGAAACTGTCAAGTGTGGTAAAGTCCAAAGTTTTCTGAATATTGTGCTGGTGAGGGAAAAAATTAGATATTTACAATTGGTAACCCATGCCAATTTTTGCACAGATAGATTTTGTGATAGATTGTTTACCCGGAGGAGAAACGTGTCAAACCTTGATGTGTGCATTTGTATTGGGAATACCGAACTGCCTCAATGTGACAAATAGTTTCCCAGGGACACAAAATGGCTTCACTTGATGGATAACCTGAAGACTGCCTGCATCATTGCCTGTGGCATCCATTTTGTGTCCACCTGTGGGACAGCAGTGATCGGTTGCAGCTCTCTTTAGTTGTGGCTCAGATGCTATGTTTTGATCCGTTGGTTGTTGTACATTTTTTAATTCAATTCTCGGCCATTTAAGTAAATATATACTGCTGGTGAATGTTGAAGCATTTAAAAAATGAAACCATGCATAGGACCATGCATTGCTATATATTTTCAGTGGCCACACTTTTGTGCAATCCTCGGGCTGGATGAGAGACTTTTGTGACATTTCTTCCAAGACTTCAAATTTTGAGAGATGTCCCAATGTAGAAAAATTGTTTAGCTGTTGAAATTTTTGTTCTTACCGACCATTGGTATGACGTGCCTTTTCATAAAAGTGGCATGTCCGTGTAAATGATCCAATCCATCATAATGTACATTCCAATGCCATTTTCATTTTATCAGTGTCCAACCCAGAAGCAACAGGCACAGGTAAGACCATTTCTCACACCCCACCCACATGCTGCCGCCACACCCACTGCCTGCTCAGCAGCAACCCCCACCCTTTAACGACCTGCATCCCATCACCTCGCCTGTTGGCAAAATTGAGGACTTCGTGAGCAGCCAGCAGTGGACAATCACGCCTCAAACCTTGCTGATGATCATAGGCAGCCCCACCCCGCTTATCACAGGCAGCCCCACCCCGCTTATCACAGGCAGCCCCCACCTGCTTCTCACGTATGTCTGTCGTGTCTTTGTCACAGTCTTAATTCAGAGCTGTTTTGGTTTACTCCAAAATAATTGTAAAGTGCTGTACCTCTGAGGACAAGGCATCTTTGTCCGTTTGACTCTCCCTGGGACCAAGCACAGGATTAGTTTACTTGACAAAAATTTGGCCCTCTAGAAGAGGAAAAATGTCCCCTTAATAGTGTGTCCATCCTCTTTGATGAAGCCGTGTAAACCCAGTGAGAAAGATAGTGGCCACGTGTACAGTAACATCTGCTTGCCTTGGCTGCATAGTGGGATGAAACAGGACTGTATGCACAGTAATACACTAGTTGATTGGGGGAAGCTTTTTATGCATGCTGATGTATATGTTTGTCGTGATCAGTCGGCATGATAGCACAATAATGGAGCACTGTCAATTGATCCTGTGTAACATCTCTAAGTTTGCTTTTTTTAAAACAGTCCTCCACAACTGCAAATTAGAAAGAAAAGGCATTTGACGGATACCAGAATTACCAACAAGATTGACCAATCATGCAACGATCAAGCAATTCACAGGGCGACCAAACAAGCCGTTTGTTTTTTTTTTGTCATCTTCATTTTCCCGCCCCACCACTCCACTCCAAACTGCACCACAACTGCCATTGGGGACAGGGTAGCGATGAGTTTTATTTCCTGCTGCAAAGTATCAGATTAGAAGCGAGGGTGTACTAGCTTACAAAACACAGTTACCATATCACCACGAACACTTGCCAAGTTGGGTATTTGTCAGAGACTTTGTGATCGCAAACTTCATACACTTATTGCAGCTTCAGCTAGTTTCTTCCTATCTCTAGCACATTTGTGATCATCACTCCTTCCAAAATGAGGGACAGCTTTCAATCTGTAGCAGAAACATTTTCTTAATTTTACAGAGTGCACCCTCCCATGAAAAAAAACCTACCAGTACAGGGGGAAAACGGTTAATAGTTTACAGCCTTTTTAGCCTGTATATGCTTGTCCTTTATTGCAGCTAAAGCAGCTTGTTTCCATACAAAGTCTGTTCAATAGTGCAATATACATGCCATTATGACAGATAATTACACAGTGAATGACATTTCACTGTTACAGGTGCACTGTCATTGATAGGGATCAGTGAAAACCAGGGAAGTTGTGATTCCTTTGGGTGGGCTTGAGTGGCTCCCGTGAGATAACTCAAGTGGCAGTCTCATGCCTGGCCTGTTCAAGTGGCTTTTATGTCATTCTTTAATACTGGATGTCCAGAAGAGACCCCTGACCGTAGCTTACACCAATAATATTTGAGATTTGTAAAACATGAAATTGTGAAGAGGTCCAATGAAATCAATTTCTTTTGTGGTTAAAAATCAAATTCTAAATAGAACCCAACCTTACAGAATGAGTTGCAAGGAACCGGTGTGTATTAGGAACCATTATGATGTTTTACGCTGGAATACTGTTTGTATCAGGAAGACAGATTGAAATATGCATCAAAACAAACAGCTCTGTATTATGCAAACCAATAACCAAATTTCTCAAAACCAATGGCCTGAGACTCATCCTGTGATATATGATCACAGTGACTATTATGAGTCCAGCACTGCTGCATATTTCCATGACCACATTTTGAAAGAGATTATCTCAAAGTTGAAAAGTCTTTGACTGGGTGATGCTCAGCTGGGCAATATACTTTGTGACAGTCTGACAAGGGGTGTGTGTAAGTGGTCAGTTAGCGAGGCTTTTGCAACTTTTTATCCATCTGCGTATGTCCAAAACATTTGTAAAGGGGACTCGCATGCATGTGTTTTTCCTACTTGCGTCCGGGTGACCAGGATATATGAACAGAGCAGATAGCATGGAGTGCACATGTCTGTGTACTGCTGTGGGTGCATTGTGGAGCATTGTTACTGTGGCGTGCTTGTTACTAGAGCAGTTAATCACTGAGAAGCGGGGATTAGTTCATCTGTGAGGGTATCGTGATCATCAACATCAAGGAGTGTTTTTGTTTTGTTTATTTTGTAATCAACATCAATATGCTCATTACTCGGTGTTTGGAATGAAATTGACGTGTCTTGTTTTAGCCTGGAGAAGAGTCCCTTTTTTTGCATCCACGGCAGTGCTGTGTTCGACATCTTCTGTTGAATCCCAAGTTGTACCTGCCATCATCCTATATTTAGTCCATTGTAAATCTGTTGTGGTGTTTGTGTAGGTGCATTGTCTAAGTCTTAAAGCCTTGAGAAGAAAGTAGGTTAGGAAAACCGTTGTCTTCATGTTTAATGGTGTTGTTAGTATGTTTTGTATATACCATTAAGACCTTTCCAATTATTAAATCTTGATGAATCAGCTAGGAGGGGGTGAATAGGCCTACTTGACTCTTGTTCAATCAACTTGCAAGGTCACCAGTTACTTCAATAAATATACTTTAGTTTCAACAGTTTAAGCGTTGAAAAATAGTGGGCCAAAAATCTGCGCTGCGCCTCAGAATTCTCAAGAAGACATTTTCACTATCCCAACCTTTTTTTTTCTGGACGGTTTTTGGGCAGAATTGTCATCAATCCCATCACAAATCAGGTCACAAGTAATAAAGGACAAATAATGGCCAAATATGGAAAATGACAATAACTTAAGAGGACGCACGAGAAATGAAAAACAAAGGAGGAAAGGGGAGGAAACTCACCCATTTATTGGAACCTACTTCAGAATTTATCACCTTCCAGGGTTAATGGTTTATCAGTTTCCTACCAATAAGTGTTCGGCCAGCCCAAATAATCCTACCCCCCTTGGCAAAAATCCTGGCAATACCCATGTTTTGAGTTGCTTACTAGGACTTGACTTCAATGCTGTTTAACCACTTGCCGGTTGCCGGTACCAGAACCGTATTCTTTATACGCGTGGCCGGGGTCTCCGAAATCGGACAAAGGGAACTGGGCCTTGTAACAAAAGACCGTATTCGTAACAAAAAACCAGGCTGCTGGGCATTATCAACATTTTTTTCACTCTTAATAGTGGAGATAATCCAGCCTTGTCTTGAAACACTATACTACGGTTTGGGGCATTTAGAGCAAGCGGATTCCCACCGGGGACAAAAGCGCTCTACCACCCAGTGATGAGCCAACACAGTACCGCTGCACG